AGTACCAGGAAACAATGTTGTGATTTCTTTGTATTCTCATGAGTTGGTTGTGTATTTTAATGGCTGCTTAGTTTTGTTTTAGGAGATGTCAGTTAACCTAGGCAATGAGTTTGGGAAATTAATTTTGACTTGATGAATTTACACACAGCTTGGCTTGTCAGGGTCTCAAAATTATTGCGCCTGAGAACTGTTTAAATGAACTGAGTTCCTTGTGGGTAAACGCTCACATTTCAGTTAGCACCTTTTACAGGGAATCACAGTGGAGGTGGGGGGCTGAATGGCTCCTAGAAAGAGAACTCCCATCCCTAGAATGAGTCCTTTGCAGGCTAGGATTGAGGCACCCTCATGGAACAACATAGAAGTATATTCTGTCATTGTATGCTATATCTTTTGAGGATAAAGGTAGGGCTTCACTCCCCTGGACACTTAGCTTGTCTTTACTTGAGAGGCTGAATTAATGAGAAGATTTTTAAAATAAAATATAAAATAAAATAATAAAATCCTCTGAGTCCTGTTTTTCTGATGATCAACATATGTATTTCTTGGGCAATTGTATGCCTTTCCAGGGAATGCTGCAGGATATCATTTGTAGAAAGTGCAAGATAAGGCTGTATATTGTGTGGAGGGGCAATCTGTCTCTTGCTACCCTGCTGTGCTTTCAGCTTCAAAGGAGAAAAGCGAGAGATCTTCATTAATAGCTGCAATAGGAGCTAGAAAGACCATATCTGCTGTGGTTCGCAGGAGACTATTAACCTGATACATGTTACTGCTTCCCAAAAGTAAAATCCAGAATGATTTTGATCGCTTAGGATCGCTAACTGGCTACTTACTTTTTAGCTATATTCAGTAGCCACCTAAATATTAAATGTATTTGTCACTCAAAAAAGTGAACTGGTACATGCCTTATTCTGGATCCCAGTCAGAAATGAGAGAGGTAGCTTGAGACCAGTGGAGAAGATTGTACAGGCCAAGTTCTCAGGTGGCTCTGGTAGGAGAACATTCATGGCTTTGCCTCTTTTCCTGTCTCTCTCTTCACCACCCTGCTAAACTTTGTATGCTAGATTACATGTTTGCTGTCTTTCTGTTCTGCCTGCATCCTTTTCTTGTTGTTTTGTTTACAGTGCTTCCAGCATCAAGAGGTGGTTTTGTTCGTTAGTGCAAAGTACCTGTTAGATAGCCACCTAGATGTAGACCTGCTCTATAATACTAATACAGCAGTGAAAGCGATTTAGGAGCTGCTCAAAGTTTCACGTCAGCTGTTGCACTTGCCTGCTGGAGTTCTTATTTGCTGGAATGGCTGTTCCGTAGCGTGCGAGACCAGGAAGGCTTGGGCTTACTCATGCCTGAAACTCTCACCACTGGTATGCTCTGAGGACATGTTTGAACTTTGTCGTTTTATGTACAATTGCTGTATGACTGTGGAGGTGACATTCCAATGAAGATAATTATCTATTTATTCTGTTGTTAATAGCATCTTGGGCTAATCTGGTATTGATCATTTTAAGAGATGAAGCAATTACCATTCTGTGCAGAGGTGTGTTTTGAATGGGATCTGGGAGCTCCAGCACAGGCATTGCTGCAGCGGATTATGGGGAATCATAGTTTTCTGAAGTCCTAGGCTCCTCTCCTGGCTTAGTGAAGTTTTAATTCAAATGAAAGCAAAAAGTCACTGCATTCTTTTCAATAGCAAAAAAAAAAACCACTGATGCACATTGATGCATTTTACCGTTTACTTTGTTTGGATTCTGAGAAAAGATCCTGGTTTCATACTTGTTAGCAGTATGTGGTTTGATGTTGGTTAGTGAGCTTGGGCCTCTTTTTTTTTTTCAACACTGCAGAACCATGTTTCATCGCCTTTAAAGTGGAATCTGTCTTCCTTTCCAAAGTGAAGAACCTGGATGCCTATATGTTGATAAAGGAACCAATTAATCTGCTGTGGTAACTTCAATGATAAATCCGATGTGCTAGGTTTATTTTAAAATGCTAAAAATCAGATGAACCCCCACTGAAAATACCAGTCTGGAATCTAATTGACAGCAATCTCTTTACCCTAGTATATGCATGTGATGAAGAGTTAGATCTTCTGGAACACAAGATGCGCTCTGAGCACAACCGTAGCACAGACATCTGACACTCAGAAGGATGAGAGATTTGTCCTCTGGCTCCAGTCAGCTAATACAGTTCCGTTGTCAGAAACAACTGAGGATCAGAGTTTGTCAGGTGTAGTGCAGGGTTTCTTCCAATTTTTGCAAGAAACTATAGACACTGCAGAGACAGGCAGAGAGTATCTTAGGAGCAGTGCCAAAACCTTGTTAAATTAAAGGTGCTACTGTCTTGCTCTTTTGCCCACTTCTCCTGACTTGTTAATTTTCTGTGTATTTTTGAAATGAACTTAATATTGTGAAAGGTACCAGAATCTCTGCTCCAAGATCTGCAAAGCATATACCAAGGTAGACAGCTTCACTGATTGCCACAGGGCAACGTGAGACTCCTGAGTTTGAGTTACTTTAGATATAGGCTGTATTTGAAGCAACTCCATCTATTGAAAATTATTGGCATAATCTATACCACAATTACTGTAGCAGCTGAGCTGTATTATCCTAGTGAAATTGGTGCAGCCTGGATAGAGCACTGTGCCTCATGGTCGGAGCCTGGAAATGTACTCGCGGGAGCCTGTGCTGTACTCTGCGCAGCACTAGTGTTGTTGGTCCTCAGCTATCTAGTTCTAGCATGTCTAACGAGCTGCAGTCCTGCCTTTGGACTGAAAAGTAGCTAAATCTTCTGCCTCTTCTTGTCTTGCCAGTAACTGTATCTCTGTTTTTTATTCCTTGCCATGCAGCTTCTCTAAAACTTCAGCTCTTCTTCCAAGGGCTTTTCACACACTAATCCTTCTTCCACAAGCTTCTCTCTTCTGTGCTGCAATTTCTGTATGGGTCTCAGCCCCTTCCCTTGCCTTTGTACTCTGCCTTTCGCTCGAACCCACAGTTTTATCTTCAGACCTCAAGATTCTAGCTCTGCTCTTTCAAATGCAGAAATGCACAGCCAGATGCAATTTATGATACCAACTGTTATCAGAAGGAAGTTACACAGCACAAATGATTGCCCTACCCAAAACATTTTAGAGCAAGGTCTCTAGAGGGTGGGGTAAACAGGAAGAGGTGATTTGGTCCATTTCCATTTGTGTTCATTACCAAAGCTGGAGTTCCAGAGCCAGGAGAAAGTTGTGTTGGGACTCCTTCACCACATGAAGCGCAGGGGTTGTTCCTAGACTTGCACAGTGATCACTCCGTTTTTCTATTCACAGTCATTTGAGTTTCCAGAAGGTATTTACACTGAGCCGTAGGAAACAGTCCAGCAAGCACTGAGATAAGAAGAGGTTGATTCACATATGTTGTGTGAAGATTTGCACATTCTAACCCCATCTCGGTGGTATTGGTCCTTTTTTTTTGTTTTTCCTTTTTTTTTTATATGTGTTGAAATGGGTAGGTGACTTTAGTTTCTTAGTAGGAAAAGAGGAGGGAAGGAAAAATTGTACCCTTAGGACACCTTGTTCCTCTCTGCAGTTTGAAATTGTTGTCTAGGAAATAAAATGCCCTACAGAAAGATGAAGGATATCTTCATCCCTCTTTCTCCCTCTGCTCTCTCACTAGCTCTCTCCTAAAGTGACGCTAAAGGCACTGTTTCCCTTTAACTTTGGCTTTAAAGTAACCTGCGAAACTACATACCAATGTGTAACTCAGTGCCAGCACAGCGATGAGAACTCGTTCTTTCAGGGGTTGTCTTGGATCTACCGTACTTTGGGGTTATTGTAAATATTGGGACCTCTGATGTCTGCATTTCTGGCTTTAAATGCAGCATATGGGCTGTGTCAGTTTAGCCATCTGAATCTCAGGGAAGGAAAGGAAATGAAAAGCTTGGCCAGGGACAGTGGGTGAGTACTGAGATCTTCACATAGTCCTCCAAGCTACATTAAATGCTGGCTCTGGAAGTCTTTGCAGTGTGTGTCTGTTCCTTTTTATACAGGCTGCTGGGTCCTTGGCAAGCTATTGACGTGTTTCTTGTCTGGGTCAGTTCTTCATCCTTTTATATATGGTATGAAAGCAATTGTTTTAATGATTGCTTTGCAGAACTGGGAGGACCCAGACAGAATCAGGACAGCACTGAAGTAGGAGCTATATAAAAGCCACTTTTATAAAGACACTGTGCTTTCCTTTAACAACAAGAGGGAAGCGTTCCCGTAAAAGATGAGAACGAGAGAGAAGAAAAATTCCTTCTTCACTTCTGAATACCCATTATTCCATTTCGTGTCCTTTCGTTCCATCTCTGCTCAGAGGTTCCCTGTGTGCGCTAATCCTTTACCTTCTCTGTGCCGCTGCCCAGGTGTCAGTGAGCCCCAGATATGGCACATGGCTATGAATAATCTGCATGCACCTTGTTTTAGCTTGTGTGGCTCAGGATGTATGAACATTTGATGCTGAGAGGGGCTTTTGCTGCTTTCTCCATCAAGAAGGGAAGAGGGAGGGAATGCTTCAGACTGGACCTGTAGCCGTCTCAAATCATTTAAATAAGTTTTTTTTTTTTTTTGAAATTGAGCTTGGAGCTCCAAAGCTGTGGAGTCATCTGGATAACTCTCCTATATTTGTGTAAGGGGGTTAGGATTCCTGGATCTCTTTATCTTTATCTAGTCCTTTTTCCTGGGCCTGCTCAGGTGTTCCTTCTCTGGTAGTATATTTTATAGCACTTTGTCCTGTCTAATTTGCCATCTGCTTTTCCACAGACCCTGTCTGTCAGCATCATCCGTTGCTGTGCGTGCATATGCATCTCTACAGGCAGGGAACCCACGGATTCTGGCTGTGCTGGCTCCATCTTGTGAATGGACCATTCCTGCAGGCAGCTGGTGCTATCCTGTGCAAACTTTCTTCTCTCTTTCCCCTTTTTCTCCTTGCTGGATCTGCAGCATGACTGGAAACAGGCTGAATTAATCAGCAGACTGGTGCTTCACTCTGCTGCTTCTGTCTCGTTCTCTGCAGCGCTGGGCTCTGCACAGTCTGGCTCGCTCTCCCTCTTTTGCTCTCTCATTTCTGGAGGGCAGCAGCAGTGGAAGTTGCTGTGGAAGTGGTGCAGGAATTTAGCCCAGATGCTCTTTAAGCAGGCCGATCTCTGGATCCCCCACCAAGGCAAATGCCGCAAAGTAAGTTTCTCTCCCTTAGCATTTAAATTCAAAATGGCTTTCCCTCTTTCCTTCCCCAACCTCCATCCTGCCTGATGTGATGGTGCATGAAGGGCTTTGAGGTTCTGGGGAAAGAGATTATGTCAGGAAATGAAGCAGGGAATGATAATTTTAGCTAGGGATGTCTTGGTCTTGGAGGGGGTGGGGAAAGAAGCTCTGTATTAAACTATAGATTTAATTCGAAAACGAAGTGGAGGGGCCAAACATGATCTTAGCTACTGACTCCTGTTTTGCTGCCTCTCTGCTTCGGGTCTCAAGTTTATCCGTTTCTTGTACGTGCTTTGATCTGTAGATGTTGAACCTCCTTACCCCTTGAAATATCTTACAGTGCACCTTCTAGGCTGTGTCACAGTTTTAGTTCCCAAAGTCTTCAGATAAACAAATAGGGGGCAGGAGGTGAAAGATGTGCTGAAGTTCCCTGGATTTCTGAGCATTGCTGGCCTCAGGAGGAGATTAACATCCTCTGGAGTCAGCTCTGCACTGGCATAAAGCATTATACTTTATGTTGAAGCCAGAATAAATATGGACCCCCTCCCCCCCGACTGCTTTCTGAACTTGGGGAAATACTGCAACTAGATAAATTATGGTAATTAAAGCTTGATAATTGCATAGCACAGGTGAGCTTCAAAGCACTGCATAAACACTGCCTCATCCTGCCAGCATCCTGGTGGGGCACGTAACTATGGTTGGGGATTTGCCTGCTGCAAGGAGGACCAAAGAGACAGACCCGGGAAGGTGCAGTTCACAACTGGGCTGTTACCTGGGGAGCAGGCTCCTCTCTCTCTGCTGTTGAACTGCCACTAGCTGAGCAAGGAAGAAAGCACCGAGCTTTGCGTTAGCCATGTGAAATGGTTGATCGTGGCTGTTGGCATCTAACACTGTGCTTTAGAGAGGGCATAAAATTTGAATGTCACTGTCTGGATTAAAATGGACTCTGTTCACACCAAAATGCAGTGCTGATTCAGATGGCTGATTAGTGCTGCTCTGGCCAGATCTCGCAGAGATCCTTGCTACCGCTGCTGTGCCTCTTTGCAGTGTAAGTCTGCAGGCCCTGTTAGTGATGAATGGCAGGGAGCCTCGATGTCCGCTTCCACACCGGAGCCCCCGCAGGCCCCCCGTTACCGAGCTGTGGGAGCTCTTTTGTCCACGGACCGGGGGAGGTCTGGGCTGACTTTCATACGGTGGCTACAGATGGAGGAAGGAGACAGTTGTTGACTGTCGCTCTGTCCATTAATTTGGGCACTGCTGTGCTGAAGGCTTTGCTTGTTTCATTTGATTTGAGACCACCCACAGCTAAATGGTGGTTGCCAAGCTTGTGTCAGGTGGCATTTAAACCAGGTTTAAAAGCTGCGTTGGTTGTGCTCTCTGGAGCCTTTCCTTGCGTGTCCAGTTTTGAAGGCAGTGGTCCCCACAGAGCTGCGATGTGCTTGACAGAGCTACCTGAATCATGCAGATAATCATGTATTTCTTTTTTCTGTGCTTTCCAGTAGCGTTCAGGTGGGTTGGTGAATATTATAATCTTCACAATGCTTCAGCTGGTAGGGAGGTGGTATTCCCATTAAAGAGGTGAGAAACTAAGGCACAGAGGAGTCTGCAATTTTCCCACTGTCATAGAGAAATCTGTGGCAGAAGCAAGAGCAGAATTTGGGTGTCCTGACAGTTAGTCCGGAGTCTTAAACAATTCTTTATTGAATGGGGAGTGTGAATGTGTGAGGGGGGAGGTTTCACGCAGTCTAGGTCACTGGACAAGCGCTGTTGCTAAGAGTCAGGCATCAAACCTCCTTTCAACAGTAACCGGGTAAGCACCCAGAAGGACAACAAATACAATTTGTGTAGGTAGTAATGGGAAACTTGCCCAGAATGGCCTATCCATTGGCTTTGCCTGCTATGTCTCTATAATTTTGTACAACGGGTATTCGATTGCAGGCAGTCTGAGCATTAACTCAGCAGCTGTGGTCGGACAGAGCTCTAGCACGCTGAAGTATGATTTGTTTTAGAAGAGAAATAAACCCCTTCCTAGCACTAGCTTGCAGTAAGAAATGTTGCTCCAAGAAACTGCATGCTGTGGTGTCTGATGTCTGCCATCCTCTCTGACGGGAACAAAAAAAAGCTGTGGGTCATATTGTGCCTTATCTTATGCAAGAATCTGACTTGCAGTACTGAATGCAAATACAGTTACTTCTTCTCATGTGCTTTTGAAACTGTGAATAATGCCTATATTTCAGAAGGTCTAATCCCTGAAATAGATTAATAGCCTGCAGAATATCATTGGCAAATTAAAAACTACCTTCTTGTTTCTGCTAGAGGAATGCAAAATAGCTCTCAGAAAAAGGAAGAACGTTCTGCTGCCCTGTTTCTCTCCTCCAACTATTTAACACTGAAAAGCAATTGAATCAAAGTGTTAAAAAGGGCGGGGGGGGGGGGGGCCTAATGTGGGCGGCCGGGAC